CTTCAAGTTCATTAACATACTGGCTGGGGAATTCTGGGAGTTGAAGTCCACTGTGAGCTCATCCAGGTTTAAAAAACACTGGATGAGCCCACAATTCCCATCGTTCCCAGCCTAGTGAAATTTGAGGAGTGATGTAATCCAACCCATTTAGATGCTATCAAATTCTGCCCCAGCGTTATTATTTGAGAAAGATTTTTTCTTTTTTGGCTCCTGTTACCTTACCAATTCACGGGTTGCAAAACATTGGAAGTCTAAAGGTTAAACAGATGCTTCTGAAAATATCCACCCCAAATGTTATGGAGGCGTTTCATTACCTCTCATTTTCATTCAGCTTTTCCCAAGCACCTAACCTTCAAACCGTGTGCTATTTTTTACTGGTACAGCCAAGAGTTACCTGGAGACGTAGTACTTATTTTGGTCTTTAATTGATGATTAAACATTGCAGAGGGCTGTCAAACTAGACTTTTCTTTCTATTATTTGCTGCATTTGAAAAGGGATCTAAATTCAGTTCCCGCACATGGACTGACATTCAGGCATTTTCAAATATAAATCCCAACAGATTAGAGATATTTAAAATAGTTCTCCATTTCTCCTGCATTAAAAACCTGAGCCTGATACATTTCAGCAACTCATATTTTGATTGATTGATTAAATTTATAGGCCGCCCATCTCGCTATCTCGGGAGTGATTCTGGCCAACTTGTAGTGCAATAAAATAAGAATAGAAAAACACATCAGTGTACAAATATTTAAAATTAGGGGAATTCAAGAGAGAAAAAGAATAAAAACCCGTCAGAATATTAGGGGCTGATGATCTCCGCCCTCCAAATCAAAAAGTTGCCTGAACCACCATATAGGCGGCAAATAAATTTGATAAATAAAAATAAAATAAATCAACAAAAATGTAAAACCACAATCTACCTTCTGTTTAAACAACTAAACAACCCCAAACCAATTCATGCTTTTATTGAAAAGGCAGCTGCACAGAGAAAAATTGGTATTTTTCCTATTAGGAGAAGAAAATGCCTTGAAAAACTATGAATTGGTCTCTCTCTTTTTTTCCTTTCTCTCTCTCTCTCTCTCTCTCTCTCTCTCTTTCATTTTCTTTCTCTCTTTCTGTCTCTCCTTTTCTCCTTCTGCCTCTTCCTTTCTCTCTCTCTCTCTCTCTCCCTCTTTCTTTTTCTCTTTTTCTCATTTTCTCACTTTCTCTCTCTCTCTGTCCCTCTCCCTCTTTCTCTCTCTTGCCATTCAAGCTTCATGTGCACAGAAGAGGATCACAGGTCTGCATTGTCCCTGGATTGTGCCGTTGCTATGACAGCCAGTTGTGGGTTGTGGCTACAAGCCAGGCACAAAGATGATGCCACATTTACACAGGAGGCAGGAATGTGGTACAGAAGTCACTTTATCTGCCTGTCTGGATAGATGTGGAAAGACAGAAAGTGTTTCTTAAATGCATCCTTGTCTCCTAAAATTATGACCTTTTTCCCCACATTCTTATGAAAATGCCTTTTTAAAACATATTTTTTAATCCTGCCTTTGTTGTTTTTGGAAATAACTTAAGGCTATAAACATACCTAATACTCCTTCGTTCTTATTTTTCCCCCAACAACCCTGTGAGGTGGGTTGGGATGAGAAACTGTTGGGATTGACCCAAAGTCACCCAACTGGCTTTCAAGTTGATGCGGAAGCCAGATTCACTTAACAACCATGGCAAGAAAAGTCATAAAATGGAACAAAACTCACTTAATGAATTTCTACCTTAGCAACATAAATTTTGGGCTCAATTGTGGTTGTAAATCAAGGCCTACCTGTATCCACTCTGATCTCCAGAGCCAACAGCATTATGAAAGAAACACAGACAAGCACCCACAAACACACAGACACACAATTTCGTTCAAGGCCCCACACAGTTAATCATAACTGAATTCTAAGGAGTCTAACTTAATCCCAATATACATCCAGTGCCTTCTGACTTAAAGCTATGGACATTCAGCCGTTCGGCAGAGGGACCGCCAAAATTCACCGCACGCCTGCTTGTCTTCCAAATTCACCATCCTGGGCCAAAACCAAACAGCGAACGCAATCTTCTAGTCCTCATGCATAATTCATATTTCCCCCTCCTTGTTGCGAAAGGGCACATGAGGTTCCGGCTATAAGTAGAACAAGTTTTGCTTTCCTCTCATGTGTGCATTTGGGCGTGTGTGTGTGTGTGTGTGTACGCTCAGACAGAGATTTCACTTTCTATCACGTCTAAGACGGAACGCCTGGAGCCCAAACATGTCAAAACTTCGCCTGTCTCCTCTGTTGAAAGGGTCACCAGGCGGCCCAACCCGGAGTTGTCCTAAATCTTGAGGGTTTCAATGGAAGGAGACGGATGCTGTCCGTGGTGCTGAAGGCAGTTTTGCAATCGGGCTGCCTGGCAAATATAGAAGAATATAGGGTGATTTTTTAAAAAGAATTTAAAAGGGGGGTGTGGGGAAGAAAATTAATGGGCCTCCATTGTCTGAGGTTTATTTTATATGACTTTTTAACTAGCCCCTGACAAGTCAAAGCCTTAGTAAGACCACACTTGGAATACTGCATCCAGTTTTGCTCACCACACTACAAAAAAAGATGTTGAGACTCTAGAAAGAGGGCAGAGAAGAGCAACCAGGACGATTAGGGGACTGGAGGATAAAACATATGACGAATGGTTGCAGGAACTGGGCTTGGCTAGTCTAGGGAAGAGAAGGACCAGGGGAGACAGGAGAGCATCTTTCAATATTTGAGGGGCTGCCCCAGAGAGGAGGAAGGGGGTCAAGCTGTTTTCCAAGGCACCCGAAGGCCGGACAAGGAACAATGGATGGAAACTGAACAAGGAGAGATTTAACCTGGAAATAAGGAGAAACTTTCTGACAGGGAGAACAATCAACCCATGGAACAGAAGTTGCCTTCAGAGCTGTCGTGGGAGCTTCATCATTGGAAGCTTTCAAGAAGAGACTGGGCTGCCATCTGTCAGATATGGTGTAGGGTCTCCTTTTTGGGCAAGGGGTGGGACTAGATGACCTACAAGGTCCCTTCCAACTCTGTTAATCTGATTTTAAAAAAGACCTGGGTGAATTGAATTGCAAAGGAGTTTAGAAAGCAGTACAGGTTCTCCTTGGCTTACAACAGTTGGTTTAGTGACCATTCAACATCACAATGGCACTGAAAAAAGAGACTTATGACCGTTTTTCACACTTACAACCGTTGAAGCATCCATGCAGTCAGGTGATCAAAATTTGGATTCTTGGCAAGGGACTCCTAGTTATGACGGTTGCAGCGTCCTGGGAGGGTGTGATATGAACCCCTTTTGTGACCGACTGACAAGCCAAGTCAAAGAGGAAACCAGATTCACTTAATGGCCATGCCACTAACTTAAAAATGGCAGTGTTTTGCTTAACAACGGTGGCAAGCATGTTTGTAAAATGAGGCAAATCTCACTTAACAAATGTCTCACTTAGCGATATCAATTTTGGGCTCCACTCTGGTCGTAAGTTGAGGATTGCCTGTAGAAACCCTAAACCTGTGTCAATAAAACCTATTTTTTTCTGGCATGAAATTGTAGTGATGAGTAACAGGATGGTCTGGTTGCCACGGACACATTAGCTCAGAAACACCATAATCCCACTGTTTTTATTAGGGATGGTATCAGAAATATTTGATAAGAAAAGTATAAAATATTTGATAAGAAAAATATCACATGTCCTCATAGCAGCAAGGATTATCTTCGTACAATATTGGAAAAACGAAGACACACCGCGAGATGAAGTGATAATCACGAAGACATTAGATTGTGCAGAAAAGGATAGACATACATTGAAACTTAAGCAGAAAGAAAACACAGAATATTAGCAAACATGGAACTTATTTTACCCGTGGTTGGAAAAAAGGGAGTGGAGAGTAAGAATGGAACCTGTATTGCTGAAGCAAATTAGATACCCAGACAACATGATGCTTATTAAACATTAAGAAATGTAATCAATAAAGGTAAAGGTTCCCCTCCTTTCACATCCGTGCTAGTCATTTCCGGCTCTAGGGGCGATGCTCATTTCCATTACAAAGCTGAAGAGCCAGCGCTGTCTGAAGACGTCTCCATGGTCATGTGGCCAGCATGACTAAACGCCAAAGGCACATGGAAAGCTGTAACCTTCCCACCAAAGGGGTCCCTATTTTTCTACTTGCATTTTTCACATGCTTTTGAACTGGTAGGTTGGCAGAAGCTGGGACAAGGAATGGGAGCTCACTCCGTTAGGTGGCGCTAGGGATTCGAACCACCAAACTGCTGACCTTTGTGATTGACAAGCTCAGCGTCTTAGCCACTGAGCCACCGCGTCCCCTATATATAATCAATAGAAAATTAATAACATTTGTTTTTAAAAAAGAAACGATATAAGCCCAGTTCAGCCTAGTTTAGCACGATGCGCCATCCCGCCCTGATGTAGAAGAGGGTTAGAAGTTGCAATCCGAACTCAATGCTCTTCCTCTCCTTTTCCTCCCCACATTCAGGCCAAGGTGATCGTCCCAAACAGCACAGCCGGGCTGATTATCGGCAAAGGTGGCGCCACTGTCAAAGCCATCATGGAACAGTCTGGCGCTTGGGTGCAGCTGAGCCAGAAACCCGAAGGCATCAACCTCCAAGAACGCGTGGTGACCATCAGCGGGGAACCCGAGCAGATCCACAAGGCCGTCGACATCATTGTCCAGAAGATCCAGGAGGATCCGCAGAGCAGCAGCTGCCTCAACATCAGCTACGCCAACATCACCGGCCCAGTGGCCAACTCTAACCCAACTGGATCGCCCTACGCCAACTCTACAGACGTTCTACCCGCAGCCGCCGCCGCGGCCACCGCTTCAGGCTTGTTGGGCCACACCAGCCTGGCTGGTGTTGGCGCCTTCCCGGCTGCCCTGCCGGGTTTTTCCGGCAGCGACCTCTTGGCCATCAGCACAGCGCTCAACACCTTAGCGAGTTACGGATACAACACCAATTCTTTGGGGCTCGGCCTCAATTCGGCTGCCGCTTCCGGAGTCCTGGCCGCGGTGGCCGCCGGAGCCAACCCAGCAGCTGCCGCCGCCGCTAACCTCTTAGCTTCGTATGCCAATGAAGCTTCTACGAGTACCACGGCCCCAGCCGGTGCAGTTGGCGCCTTCACCTTGGGCTCTTTAGCGGCAGCCACTGGGGCGGCTAACGGCTACTTAGGGACTGCCTCCCCGTTGGTGGCCAGCTCCTTCCTAGCCACCGAGAAGCTAGTGGAAAGTGCTAAAGATATGGTGGAAATCGCAGTGCCGGAAAACCTCGTCGGTGCCATTTTGGGCAAAGGCGGGAAGACGTTGGTCGAATACCAGGAGCTGACAGGGGCCCGCATCCAGATTTCCAAAAAGGGGGAGTTTATTCCAGGTACCAGGAACCGTAAAGTCACCATCACGGGCACGCCAGCTGCCACCCAAGCCGCGCAATATCTCATCAGCCAGCGAGTAACGTACGAGCAAGGAGTCCGGGCCACCAACCCACAGAAAGTGGGATAAGAGGAGGCCAAAGAGAAGGCTTGGGGAGGGGGGGGGGAGGAATAGGTTCAATCAGCCCTTTAATTGTGAAAAATGGTAACCGCCATGACCCCGGCCCCTGCCCAGTGCCCGTCTCTCTGCCATACACACGCACGCACACACACACACACACACACACACACAGATACACAAAGCCCCCTGTGATTGGGAAGCAGCCCGTCATATTCTGCCGGACATTTATTTCACCAACGGTGTGGCCTGATTGTGTATATATTTCTCTCTCTTGATCTATCTATCTATCTATCTATATATGGCGACGTTTTCTTTTCTTTTTTTTTTCAGTTGATGGATTTGAATAGAAAAAAAAAAAAGATTTTTTTTAAAAGAAAACAGTCCTCTTTCTTTCTGAGTCTCCGAATGAATCCGATGGAGCAAGGATTCCCCCCCCCCCCCGTTTCTAGCTTTCTTTCCTCGTAGATCAGCTCCAAGGAACCTCTCAGTGGGCTCTCCCCGCGCCCTTCTCCACGTCACCGCTGGAGATTTGATCAAGGGTAGATGGTCAGGTTGGGTCTTGGGAAGGAAACGGGGAAAGGAGTTAGGTCCCGACCGGAAGCGCGACACAATTCCCGCCGTGATATATTCCGCTTTTCTCTTGGAGGGAAACGAGGCAGCTCCTGAGTTGCATCGTTCGTCCTGAATGAAGAGGAGGTGGAGGAAGAAGTTGGGGTGACAACCTTTTTCGGCTGGCTTTGAAGCAAACAACTAGAGTATGCAAAGCCCGTGGTCACAGGTAGTCCTTGACTTACAACTGCCACTTGAACCCGACATTTCCGTTGCTAAGGGAGACAGCGGTTCAGTGAGTTTTGCCCCATTTTACGACCTTTTCGGCACAGCTGTTAAGCAAGTCGCTCCAGTTGTTTGGTGAATCGTGGCTCCCCCCCCCCCCCCCCGCCTTGACTTGGCTTGCCGGAAGGTCGCAAAAAGTGAACCCAGGATGCTGCAACTGTCATAACTACACGCCAGTTGCCAAGCACCCGGATTTAGATCGGGGGGACTGTGGGGAGGCTGCAACGGTCATAAATGTGAAAACTGAGGTCGTTTTTTCTCAGTGCCATTGTAACTTTGAGCGGTCACCAAACAAATGGTTGTAATTCGAAGACTACCTGAATTCTTATTTTTAATAGGGAAAACCTGAGTCCCTTTTTCCCCGTTTCCCCAACCGTGGTGATCAAAACAAAGTCCTTAGACGACCGTGTTGCAGAGAAGGTCTCTTTGTGTTCTACGGAAAGAGGAGGAGCTCGTGCCAGGGGTAGAGAACTGGGTCTGGGCACCGACGCAGAGAACTTCTGTCTTCTTGCCTTGCTGGGGACCTGGCCTAGAGTTGCTGGGGTGACTCTTCCTCGGGTTTGGGATGAGCGTCCCCCCATTGCAAAGAAGGCTGAACCTCTTGAGATATATATATACAACCTGGAAGGGGATGGTCAGGTCCTTCTTGTGTGATGGAAGTCAGACTCGTGGAGTCAACCTTCTCCTTCCTGTGGCCCACCTGTGATTTGTTGTGTCTTCCTTCCCAGGTGAGGTATGTCTACTCTCACCTTCCGTTGTGTTTGGGCCGCAGGAAGATCTTCATACATGTTTCAGAAGGGGCCATCTGAACCTGGAAAGGCCCCAACCCCAGGTTTTAGCTACAACAAAGTGGTGGGAAATTTGGGAGGAACAACCTGGCAATGAAAGCTCCTGTTGCCTTAGAGGACCAGACAGGTGCACACTGTGAAGACGGGGATGTTGTCAGTATTATGGGCTGTCGAGGTTCTCCTCAAGCCCAGACAATTGCATTTTCCTTCTGACTTTCTTTGTTTATTCACCCTCTGGTTATGGTGTTCCTTAACCTTGCCAGCTTGAAGACGTGTGGACAACAACTCCCAGAATTCCCCAGTCAACAAAACTGTTATGTCCAATGGTGGGATTCAACCTGTGTAACAACTAGTTCGCCTAAACCGGTCCGAACCGGTAGAATCCCACCCTTGGTTATATCTCAGGAGGTTTCAATCTCCCAACAGACTTTTGGGAGCTGAAGTCCACATCTCTTCAAGCTGCCAAGGTTGAGAACTTGCTCTTAGTATCAACCAGCAGTATTACCAATCCAATAGGGTGAGGTGGCCTTCGTTCCTCGGCTCCCTTCATTCATGAATCTCCCCAGTGACGGTGTTCTGGTTTTTGTGTAGTGTTTTGTTTTTTCAGATCATAGTTTGGTTAGGGCTTCCTATTCTTAGTGTAAACTTGGAGTAGCCGTGAAGGCCACATCAAGAACAGGTCCCACCCCCCAAGTGGTGACTTTCCTCTCGGTAGGACTCTGCGTCTCTCTCTCTCTCTCTCTGATTAGTTTCCATGGGATAACCATTGGGTTATCTCCTCCTCTCCTTCTGTCACCCTCAAAAGGGTGCAATGGGTGGATGAATGAATGAATAAATAAATAAATTGAGAAAAAAAAAAACAGGGTATCTCCCTGCGATGTTTACATATTGGGCTCGCTATGTTCTCTCTCTATCTGTAGAGAGCTCGCCAGCTTGTCGGCGTTTGAAGATTGCCAGCATTTTAACCAAGAGTTTCTGGGTCGTGCTGGGTTCCCCCCCAAGGACGATCAGAGTCCAGAGTCGGCCAGCCAGGCTGAACAAATCAACCACGTGTCATTGCAGTGCTTGTGGTAGCTTGCGTGTTTCTTCCAAGGATGTTTACCCAAAAGGCGTTGAAAAAGCTAGCTTGAATGAGGACCTCACATTGTTGGCTTGTCTGATAGCTTGTGACAGTTCCTGGTTCCGTCATTCAGCATAAAAGGCCTGAGTTGTGAAGTCAAAAGTCTACCTCTTCACAGAGGGGATCCAACCTGGTGTAGAAGATAGGAGGATGTTGCCAGTGGACGCCTACCCAGGCATTGTGTTGGTTGAGCTAGGCTTGTTGGAAATGAAATGGAGTTGGCAGCCTAATGTTTCTTGAATTTGGGGGGGGGGGGGGAGAAATCCCACATACGAGAGCCCCAACGTTCTCTGGGATAGAAGTTGCTGGCCGGTGCATTTAGTGTCCTTCTCAAGACTCGAGACCCGAAGAAGCTGGAAAAAGCAACTAAAAGAGAAAGGTCTCCAGCCAAGTTTCTTCTCTTGAGGGCTTGGCCAGGTCCTTGTCTGTCCCTCTGGCACAGATTTTCCTATGCTGCATTAAAACTCCTCCCCCTCCCTCAACTCTTCAGCACTGAGTTATGGATTTCTGCAATATTTCAGTGACTCTCAAAGTGGGGGGGTGGGTGGGGGAAACCGTTCCTTTCAGACGGTCTCCAAACCATCGGGTGGAGATTGAGATCTGCAAGGAAAGAACTTAGCACACAGCCGCCCATCTTTCCTTCATGCTCTTCAGACGAAGAGCTTGAGCAGCTGACCGGCTCACTTAGGCCAACGCTCCAGTTTCGGGGCAGTAGAGGTTGGGACATATAATGGGTGGGTGGGCCACGGGTGGGTTTAATCTCTTAGGTAGTAGCATGTGTCTGTTTTCCTTCTTAGGCCGAAGGGAGGGTCTTGAGACCCTAAAAACCACTAGAGAACAAACAAAACAAAAATGTGAAACTTATATACTATTCATGTGTTTTTGGTTTTTTTTTTAAGGAAGCAATATCTATTGAGCATCTTGCACTGATTTTATGGAGTAAGAATGACTGCAATCAGCAATTTTATCAACCGAGGTTCGCAGTTAGGGATGTTTTTTTGCAGGCGGAGGGGGGGGAGGAACCCCCACCTTTCCACTGGCTGAGATTCTCCTTATTCTTATTCTCCTTATTTTTACAATGAACAAAAAATACTGTTGCAGTTTTGCAGGTGCATTGCATATCATGCTTTCCTTGGGGTGGGCTTGGGGTGGGGGGGGGGGGGGGGGGGTGGGGGGGACGAGGGGAGAAGAACGATACGGAACAGATTTTTGTGCCAAACTCTCTGCGTCTTTTTAAATATGGTCAGTATTGAACGGAGAAGGAGCCTCTGGCCAATTTTGGCCACCCCTCCCCCACCAAATCCTGTGTATCTTTCGACAGTACAGATAGTCCTTGACTTATGACTCCCATTCGGACCATGGGGGGGGGTCATTAAGCCAGTGAGGCCCAATTTTATGAACTTTTTTGACGAAGCTGATTATCGCAGTCGTTAAAGCGAATCGGATGGATGCTAAGCGAATCCATCTCCCCCTCCCCCTCATTGACTTGGCTTGTCCGGAGGTCAGCTGGGAAAGTTTCAGCTGGCAATCACTTGACCCCCTGAGACGTTGCAACTGTCGAAAATACACGCCAGTTGACAAGCGCCCGAATTTTGATCACGTGACTTGGGGAGTTCTGCAGTGGTCACAAGTGCGAGGACTGGGCTGTCAGTCCTTTTTTCCCCCCAGTGCCATTGTAGTTTCCGGCATTCGCTCAACGGAATGGTCGTAAATTGAGGACTGCCTCTATCTGGCCTCTGCTTTTTATTTCATCCCACTTTCTTTTCTACCTCCGGAGGTTGTGTGCCGGGCTGGGCACCTTTCAGTATCACAATTGCGTGCCAAGGAAACAAAGATTTGGCAAGAAATAAGGAGAAGGGCATTCTGCCTCGAATTGGGCCCATCTCTCTCCTTTTGCATATTCCTGCCAAGCTGACGATTGTCAAGAGGAGGAGAACCAAGGATGGCCGCAAAGACCCCTTTCTCTGTCTTTCCTCGGTCGCAGAGATCCATCTGAAAGTGCAGAATCCAGCTTCCCTAGTTCTGGTCCCCCCCCCCCCAAAAGCGGATTTCGGGTTTTAATTAAGGACGCCGGCTTTTGCACTTTGCAAATCCTGCATATTTGCAAATCCTGCAAATTGCAAAAAAAGAAAGAAAGAAAGAAAGAAAAAGAAAGAAAGAAATTACCATTTCTTGCAGTTTGGGAGGCAGAAAACCCCAGTTCTTTAGCCAAATTCCTGCTGCTTCCCCAGCCTTTTAGGAGAAGGTCTCCGAGGAGAAAAGACATCGCGTCTAGAAACAAAACTAGAATTCTGGGAGTTGAAGGCCATAAGCCTTGAAGTGGCCAAGCTTGGCAGAGCCATAGTTTCATTCGTTCTTCAGTGCCCAAAACTTGCTGCCGTACCAGGCTGGGGAGAGAGTCCACGTGTCCATTTAATTCAAGGATGGGCAATTAATATCCAAGCCCCCACCACCACCACCACCACGAGAAACTGAGACCATTGTGGAGGGCCGAATGAAGAGGGTCGTGGAGGTGTTTAGGCACGCACCCACGCACAAATGTAAGCTGACATTTCCTT